GGGGCAGCAGCCCGACCTGGCTTTGGGCCGGCTGGGTGTGGGGAGCGGGGCCCCGCCGCAGCGGGCTGGGACTGTACGGGGTGAGAAGGGGAGGCAGAAGGTGTCCTGTGACACCTCCTCACCCGGCAGAGCGAGTGCTGGCAAACCGCGGGTTTGGGGTTTGTGTGTTTCGTGAAAAAGAGAATGATCCCGTAAACCGAGTGGTGGGAGTTGAGGAGCAAGGAGCTTCTACAGGCAGATCTCCTCGGAGCCGCTGAAATGCTCCGGCAGCTGATCTCCCTGTGAGTTCATTTTCTCTGACGGTGGTTAAAGAAAGTGTGATCGCTGCTTTTGTTGCATTGTCATCGCTGCGTCCTTTTTTCTCTCCAAGGTCCCGATTCAAAACAAAAGCATCTTTCTACTGATTTTTTTTTTTTTTGTATGCCCTGGATCAAACCTCTTCGTGGTTGTCAGCATCAAGGAGTCTTAATATCGGTGCAAAAAGCTTCTTTCATGAGAACATATAGCACCACCATAGCTCACAGTCTACACCTTAACTGTGTGGTCTTTTGTCTGTTTTCAGCTCTGGCTAGAATGACTAAAGCTATTCCTTAGCCTGGCTAGATTCCTCAATGGCCCTGGCACAAAGCGAGTGTTAAAATTGTCTTTGCCTCTCCGTATTCTTCCTTATCCTGCTAGGAAAGAGGATATAGTAAGTAGAGAAACAGTCCCATGATTTTCTGCATCTTCTTTCAACATTCAGCGCACCGATTCACTTTATTCATTTGTGAACAGATCAGTTGTGACTTTGTGTAGTGAGTCCCAGTATTCAACTGATTTCTTTGTATGTACTTTGTTTGAAAAACTTAATTCTGATTTTTTTTTCCATTGGACGCTATGATCATTTCACCACTGAATTCTTTTTTTGTTCCTTAGAGAAAACCAGTAGTGCTGAAAGGAATGGAACTCGGCACTTGCACAAGCAAATGGACAGTAGATTACTTGAGCCAAGCTGAAGGATCTAAAGAAGTAAAGATTCATGTGTCTGCGGTGCCGCAGATGGATTTCCTCAGTAAGAACTTTGTGTATAGGTACTTCATTCCCAGACCTCTTGTATTTTAAAGGCACGTGCTTGTAACTTTCAGACATACAGTGCACCTGTTTGAAGCTGAGCGTGAGAATATGAAGATGCTTTGTGAAAACTTTAAGTTATGTATCAAAGGGCTGTCCTTGATTTCCCCCTCTTCTTTTCATTCCGCAAATATCTCAACACCCTGAATAAATACTTACAGGATGAAAGGAGGAGCCAAAGAGGGCCTTAAAAGTGATGGCATGAAGAAGTGTTGTAAAGGTATTTTGACAGAGCAGTCTTGTAGGGAATTTGAGCCTGGCATTTGCTGGCTTTAATAAAACAAACCCTAACCCCCCTTGATACTACATAAGCTATTTTGTTCGAATTATATGGTGCGTTTTCAATGTTACTGAATAGTGCTAGTTTCTGACTTACCATGTGTCTGAACTTCTTTAACCTCTTTGAATGCTAGCTTGTGGCAGGCACGCTATTCCACTCCAGGGGGATGTCACTAATTAAAACCAAGCTCCTTTCAAAGGTAGCAGGTGCAATTCTCAGAATGTTCAAACCACTGGATGCCACACTTTTCACCAGCTCTTTAATCTTGATGTAGATCACACAAATTCTTGATCTCCTCTGAAGTTCCTCTCGTGTAGCTAGCAAAACATTTCATCAGAGTTCATCTAATCTCAGTCATTGTGTTGCTCTTCAAGGGCAAATGCCTTTATTTTAGTTGTCACTTCTTTTACCTGAGTGGGAACAAGGTGTGTTCAGTCAAACTTTTAAGAAGGCAGAAGCATATGCTGTAAGTGTAAACAAGCCACAAGTCTCTGAGTGGAGCCTGTTGTTCAGGGGAAAAAACACCTTATAATCATGCTATATTCTGCTCCCTGCGTAATGAACTTTTGAGTCTTTGAAATTAGGTTGTACTTTGCCTTATCTCCATATTTCCTTTTCCCTGCTCTATTTTGTTTCTTTTTATAATACCTCTTACTGTGAGTTCACATACAGTTGACTTGTCGTGGTAGTTTTAGCAGGTTTGTAGACAGCTATATGGAGGTGCTGTGATGGTGCTTCATTACAGCACTTGAAATTCAGGGAGCTTTGACCCTTTCCACAGCAAGCCCCTCATTCTAATATGAAGGGAGAATAAGTAGAACTAAAAGAATAGAAACACCAAGGACTTCAAAAATCAGGTAGTTCCATGATTTTAAACTGATGCATGTGAGTAGCACTGCAGTCCTGTTATAAGTTGCATGCTCCTACCCTGCCTTTGTGTTGGTTCTGGAACTCATTCAGCCACACTGTGATGTGCTGCAGAAACCTGAATGTTTTTCTGCTGGTTTAGCTTTGCTAGCAGGTTCACCATGAGGTCAGATGAGTGCCAGTGCTAGCCTAAGGGAGGAGATGGGATAATTAGGGTAGACAGCAAGGGCAGAGCTCTGGCAGCACCAGCATGCATCAATCTAAGCTGTCGTGGAGCTGTGCTCTCACCTTCTTCAGTAGAAAATGCAAATGGGTGTGAGGTAGCAGTTCAGCAGAAGTCAGAGCATTGGTTCTTGTTTGTTTATTTGTTTTTTCCATTGACTTCAGTGGTTGTTGTATTTGACTATTAAAGACAAGCCTAAAATGTTTAGAGAAGTGGTCTAAGTACTGTCAGATGCAGGTCACATTCTGGTAGAAGAGATAACAGGATGATGAAAAATTTTGCTTGAGGATAGTTTCTTCTTAACCCTGGGTACTTGGTGGTTGCTCTGAAATTTGATGTTTACATGCAATATATTCGTTATCCAGTGATACTTAATGTGCAATAGTGAGTTGAATGAACATTGAATTCATAACATAATATTAATGACAATGAATACATGTCCTATTACTACTTGTGCTTGGCTTGTCATTGAGCTATCAACTGATGCCAAAATCTGTAATGCTTATGAAAAGCTCCCATTATTTAAATAAATATATAACACTTTTATTGACTTCAGAAGGACAGGCTCTAATGCCCAGTGATTCTTTTTGAATCTTCTGAAATTCTGTTCAATAAATTCAAGGAAAACTAAAGAAACACTTGAAAATACCAAGATTCCTGTGTTTTGCTCAGCTGAGGTAGCACATAGTCAGGTAACTGAAATAAATTTTATAGATCTACAAATGAAGATAGGTATCTGTTTTCATGCACAAATTCATAGCAGAAAATGCATAGATATAAACATATGTACATCACCTACAGTAGTTTTCTTGATGCTGAGCTTTTCTGCAAATTTATAAAAATGTACAGCAAACAAACCTAAAAAAAGACGCACTGCTAGAGAAACAGTCTAAGCAAGTATTGTCAGGCATGGGCCACAATTTGAATCTAATTTGACTGTGAAGAATATCTTGCCCTATGACTCAAACCATTCAGACCTCTGTTCTGGTTTCAGCTGGAATAGAGTTAATTTTCTTCCTAGTAGCTGGCATAGTGCTGTGGTTTGGATTTAGTATGAGAAGAATGTTGATAACACCCTGATGTTTTAGTTGTTGCTAAGTAGCGTTTACGCTAAGTCAAGGACTTTTCAGCTTCCCACGCTCTGCCAGGTGCACAAGAAGCTGGGAGGGGGCACAGCCAGGAGAGCTGACCCCAACTGGCCAAAGGGCTGTTCGATACCATATGATGTCATGCTCAGTATAGAAACTGGGGAGAATTGGCTGAGGGACAGTGACCACTGCTCGGGAACTGGCTGGGCATCAGTTGGCGGGTGGTGAGCAATTGCATTGTGCATCACTTGTTTTGTATATTCTTTTGTCGTTGTTGTTATTATTATTGTAATTGTTCTTCTTATTATTGTTATATAATTATTAATATTAATATTACTACTACTACTAATAATAATTTCTTCCCCCTTCCTTTTCTGTTCTATTAAACTGTCTTTATCTCAGTCCACAAATTTCACTTTTTTTTTCCCGATTCTCTCTCCCGTCCTACTGGGGAAGGGGGGCAGTGAGCAAACAGCTGTGTGGTGTTTAGCTACCTGCTGGGTTAAACCGTAACAACCTCTTAAGCTCAAGAGGGACCTTATCAAAGTGTATAAATAGCTGATGGAGGGAGTAAAGAAGATGAAGCTGGAGTCTTCTCAGTGGTTCGTGGTGACAGGACAAGAGGCAATGGGCAAAAGTTGAAATACATGAAATTCTGTTGAACTGTTTATGCCCTCCCCCACTCCTTTTACAGTGAAGGTGGTCAAACACTGGAACAGGTTGCCCAGAGAGGTTATGGAGTCTTCATCCTGGGGTGGGCAATCTGCTGTAGCTGACCTTGGTCTTGGCAAGGGAATTGGACTGGAGGTACCTTCCAGCCTCATCAATTAAATGATTCTGTTTGGATATACACTGGGACAATTTAAAAAAGCAGAGAGGTTTGTAAGTGTAGGATTTCTATCTCGGTAGAACTCTTCAAACATCCACTGCAAACACTGATTAGTCACCATGTTAAAAAAAAAAAGCGGCATATTGCATCTTCATTTATACTAGATATGGTAAGAGAGCTTATGATTTTAAATCTGGCATTTAGATCATGTGTTGTTACATTGATTCATTGTATAAATTTAAATATTTATATTTCAGAACTCTGCCTTTTGATGTATTTGTACGAAGAGCAGCTGAAGTCAAACACAAGGAGTACTTTCTTTCTGAGGTAGTTTCCTTAGTGTCACAGTTTCTTCTGTCGGTTATTTTGCCAGTATATGGAGGGGAAAATGATGAACTGTAATATAAAGTCTTACTGCAGTAAAGCACTTGCTCTTAGATTTAACTGGTTTGTGTGGCTTGGAGCCAAGGCAAAAAATGTGGGGAGAAGTAATTTTTCTCAGAAGTTGGTTTGTGTGTGTACAGTGGGGTTAACTTCAGTCATCCTGTTTCTGTTGACAAAAAATGCTTACATGAGCAAAATTTCCAGCATAAAATTTAGAAATCAAACCTTGCTTTAGAATAACAACTGTATCATTTACATGTTTTGCAAGAAAATGCCATGAAGATATTTTAGAGTTTGATTACATCTGACATCAAAATACAGATACAGATTTATTGTAACATAATTTGTGAGTAGCAAAAGTAGCAACTGCTTCCTAATCAGTTGCCTGAAAAATCCCTAGTGATTAGGAAGCAAACAGTTTCCAATGCAGACATGCTTTTCACCTTTTATGCTACATAGGGTGCTGTAAGTTTTGAAGCCAATTGAAGTAGCTTCCTGCATCAGTGTTCTGAAAATTTAAATTGTAATCTGCATTTGCTTTGAATCCGTTCAGTAACAGCCATGCTGAAGCAGTTGACAAGTCTACCCCCTGCTCTTCTATTCTCAGTTAACATATTCTTCCCGTTTCTTGAGATGAACAGCAGGGAGCAGTAGAGTAAAGGCAGTGTAACAAAGTAGCTGAATTTGTAAATGCCATTTATTTGTACTGTATTTTAATGAAGCCCTGCGTTAGATTAATGAGGAAATACAGGCTCTTTGTTTCAGTGTGTTTGTAATTCTTATTAAAAACCAAAAGCAATTCTCTTTTTCTATTCTCTTCAGGATGAAAAGTACTATTTGCGATCAGTGGGTGAAGATGCTAGGAAGGTGAGTTACTTGAGATTACAGTTCTAATATTGTAAAGTCTCTGTTTAGGAATATTTTAAAAAGACCATTGTCAT